AATACGAATCATTATTTATAAGGGTGTAGAAACCTCTCCCTAGCATATACGTTTTGAAAACCTTGAGGGTAAGCTCAAAAGGGAAAGTCCAAAGAGGACAATATCTGCTAGCGGTAGGCTTAGGTTGTTACAATTAGACTCGACTCAATTACACACCTCTTGATAGGACCAGCCCAGCTGAAATCAATCAAACCCCTCCTCAGGGTTAACTACCACTAAAATCCGTAAGGGAGAAGACCACTTGAGCGAGTTCGGGTTTTAGATCAGAGATTCCTATAGATCTCAGGGTCGAACTCGAACATCTTACGTTAGCCACGAGACTCTATAGTGACCACATTGAACAATTTTTCGTATATGGTGGACAACCTTTTAGAATATGGCTGATTTTCTGTATCCAAGGTGAATCATGAACTATTTGAGTTTATTTGAACACTTCTATGTATTGTTTCACAGGTGGATTTAGGCACAGATGCAAAACATGTGTTCTGCAAAGCAAGTGATTTACTGGCTGTAGTTGAGTAGGTCTCTGATTTTCTTTTGCCATAACTCTGGTTTTAGGTACCTTTTTTTTGTAAGGCAGAACGATTTTTTCCATTGTTTTAGCTATCAATGTAATTGAATATTATTTATGTTGAAGTCTCTGATTCAGTTCTTTTGATAAATACTTCACTCTCTTTTTCTGTTATGCTCTATAATTCATCATTTTTTTAGAGACCATTGGGCTTGTATCTCTAAGACTTCGCCACTAAGACCGAAGTCTGTTGCCTCGGCCTCCTCTCGATCGGGCTTGTATGCAGCAATGTGACCATCACGCACATTTATATCACAAAGTTAATGAGAAATGAGAAGCTTGACCCGTTTGTTGAGTTATGAATATTCTTTTCGAGATTGCACAATATACCATATGCATGGTTGTAACAGTCTAAACTCACTACTAGCAGGTTTTGTCCGCTTTGACCCGTTACGTATTGTGGTCAGTCTCAAAATTTTAAGATACGTATGCTAGAGAGATGTAATTTTAACAACCTTATAAGAAATGCTTTATTCTCCTCTTCAACCAATGTGAGATCTTACAATCCACTTCCTTGTAGACTAGTGTCGTCATTGACACACCGTTCGACGTTTGGCTCTGATATCATTTGTAATAGTCCATACCTAACGTTTGCAGATATTGTTTGTTCACTTTGGCTCGTTACGTATAGTTTATTAGCCTTACGGTTTTAAAATGCGACTGCTGTAGAGAGGTTCCATATCTTTATAAGAAATGTTTTGTTTTTCTCTCCAATCAATTTGTGATCTCACAATTATCAATTTTTTTTCTTCCATCACAACTTTTATAAATTAGCTGTAAAAAATAAAGGTACGTTTAACAAAAGTTGCATTAATTCTAACTTAATTATTATAAATTACACAAAATCTAATTAGGACAAATCTAATTAGGACAATTTCAAAATCGTATTACAAAAATGTGTCAAAATTTAATTTAGTATAAAGTCGTATAATTTAGACACAAAATTGAACACGTAAATAAATGTTTGAATAAACCTTGCATAAAAGAATATAATAAGATCATAAGAACCAATACCTACAAAAATAAGTTTAGTGTTCATTTCCATGAAATGAAATTTTACACTTTAAGTAGAATGCATAAATCGGTAATAAGTTTGCTCAACCCATTTTGATATGATGAACTACGACGTATTCTCCAACAGTGCCTTAGATCCGTTGAGATTGGACTTAACTCGAATTCAGAATTTCACTTTTTTCAATAGAGTTGAGCTACACGAACCCAATAATGTCCTATCAAACCCGTCCACCAAATGAGCAATCAAAATACACAAAAAAAAAGGAAAAACAAAAACAAAAACAAAAATCATGTCTTCCCTGTCTTTATCCATCCTTCCCTTATTGTTCTTGTTCATATTCTTCTCTGATCTTCCCATCACTCAATCTTCCAACAACAAATCCTCCCTCACCTACAAAACTTGCAAAACCAGCTCTGACCAAAACCCCAACATCTCCCTCAACTTCTGCCTAACATCTCTCGGGCACGGCGCCACCAGTCTTCGCCGCCTCGGCCTCCTCTCCATCCGCTTGATTCGACACAACGTGAGCACCACACGCCACCTTATCAAGAAGTTACGAAGAAACAAAGGCTTGGACAATCCGTTGATTAAATTGTGTTTGGCAGATTGTTTGGAGCTTTATTCTGATGCGACCTTAATGATGAAACAAGCGCGTAAGGATTACAAGGCCGAAAGATACTTTGAGGCAAGCTTGATGATAAGCTCGGTTATGAATGGTTGTTCAACTTGTGAAGATGGATTCAAGGAGAAAATGGTAATTTCACCATTGACTAACATGAATCATAATGTCTTTGAACATGGTATCGTAAAATTTGAGTCTACAACGTTTTAAAGGTAACAATTTGGACAAAACTCAACACTCGTCCAGTTATCCATTCGTTCATGTCGGGAGTTATAATTTTTTTCGAATTATATGAATGGAAATTATTATAAAAGCTAAATTTTTATTAATAATATGAATTATATTTGTAAATTAGGCCAAAAAAAACACTTATAAAATGGTTGATTTTCTTAAGAAAAATAAAAATCATTGTCGGTACCATGAACAATTCTTGTCTTCGGAAAAAGACAGGATTGTGAGCTGTCGTTGTTTTGTACATTTTTTTGTTCTTCATTTGCATTGAATTCAAGCAAATCCCTTTCTCTTTTTACCCTCATAAACTCAAGAAGTTGACTTCCAAGGTTTCTTTCATATATTTACAAAACAACAAACAAATTTGTTATTACTTATACGAGCGTAACGTACTCGAGAACTTCTTTATCTCTTCTTTTATGAACGTACCCAGATTATGTAACAGCCCACAGGTTTTGTAACAGTCCTCTACGAGTAAATATTGTCGATTTTGACCCATTACGTATCACCGTCATTCTCATGATTTTAAAATGTGTCGGGTTAACGACAATTCGTAACGACCTATGAAAAATATCTATTAGTCGTGAACTTGAACTGTTATGAATGGTATCAGAGTCAGGTACCAAACGGTGCGAGGCATTGGTTGGTGTAGGGCTAGACCTTATCCATAATAGACGTGTTTTAAAAACCGTGAGATTGACAATAATACATAACGAGCAAAAGTGGACAATATTTGCTAGCAGTGGGCTTGGACTGTTACAAATGGTATCAAAGCCACACATGAGGCAATGTGTCAGTGAAGACGTTGGGCTCCAACAGGAGTAGATTGTTAGATCTCACATCGGTTGGAAAGGAGAACGAAACATTCATTATAAGAGTGTGTAAACCTCTTCCTAGTAGACACGTTTTAAAAACGGTGAGATTGACGACGATATGTAACAGCCTAAAGTGAACCATATCAGCTAACAATGTCATTTGTAACACACAAAAATAAATAATATTTGCTAGCGGCGGGCTTGAGTTGTTACAAGTTGGGTTAGAAGAAAACCTTTCAACCAACCCGAAATTTCAAGTTGGTTGGGTTGGTGACCGAAATGACTCAAACCCCAACGATATTCTCGAACTTTAAAAATTCTACGATAGTCATGACGTTCCAACGTTTGAAGTTTGGTTTAAAATTACAGCTAAATTCATAGATGAAAAAGTTTCCCTAAACAGACGTGGCACATGTTCGTCCTTTGATCCCATCCTTTAATTTTCTATTTTTTTAGTTTATGATTTTTTTTTAAGGTTAAATTAATCTCTTAAAAAGCAAAAAGAGAAATAAAAAAGGTCGTCTGTGACATCAAAATCACTTTTTCTTTTTTAAAAAAGATTTTGTTTTCAGCCTGCTTTTCTGTTCCCGAATATCTTCTTTCAGCGGCTGAGCTTCCGATTTCTACAGCATGGCAGGTTTCTCTCTCGGTTTCGATTTCTTTTTCAATAGTTTAATGATTATTTACATATGATTTAAGTCGTAGTTCCTCAATCATCAAGAACACAGAAATTTGTGGAATTCTCAAGCTTAGATTTCACTTTTTATCTTCTTGAGTATGATTCTGAGGCTGAATTGAGTTGAGATTTTCCTTTTCTTATATCTGGTCTTTTCGCGGAGTTCTTGATTTTCATGGCTTATTGTTTTTATTAGGGATTGCGGATTTGAGTTCTTAGGAGTGATCGTGAAATCTTGTTTCTGTTCCTGATTGTTTGATTCGTTTGTTTTTCTGTTCCATTTAGTGCTCTGTTATTAATTCCTGATGAGTAGATTTGAATGATTTGATCGAAGAAGCTCTGAAGAATAATTTTCAACTGGATTTTTTTTTGTTTTTATACTGTTCCTTTGTGATGTTCATATGAATTTCACGTGGCTTTTAAATTACTTGGTTCAAATGCTTTTTGGAAACCGAGCAGAACTTTGTGGATAAATACGTGAATTACTATTCCAAAGGTCGATAGTTCGATCCCTTCACCCGTGCGAGATAGTTGAACTCAAAAAAGAGCATTAGATTGAAACTCATAGAATTCCTATTGCCTTCATGTGCAGAAGTGTTGTGGACACTGCCTTACTACTTTGAGTCAATGAAACAGTAACGCTTTAGTTTGACACTCGGACCCATGTTGCCACATTAAACATGTGTTAGACGAAAGTTGTATGAATTGAATTCAAGTACAATGCCAACACAAATAATAGACATGAATTGTGATGTAGGATTAAAATTAAAATAGTAGATTTTGAGAGTTGAAATACATCAAAATCTTGCTTTTTTTAAGCGGATAAGTGTGTAAACTTATTGACTTTAAATTTCTTTTTGTCCATGTGTATGTGTGAGGTCCCACATCGGTTGGAGAGAGGAACGAAACATTCTTTATAAGAGTGTGGAAACCTCTCCCTAACAGACACATTTTAAAACTGTGAGGCTGACGGCGATATGTAATGGACCAAAGCGGACAATATCTGCTAGCGGTGGATTTGGGCTGTTACAAATGGTATTAGAGCCAGACCTCGGGTGGTGTGCCAGCAGGGACGTTGGTCCCCAAGGGGGTGGATTGTGAGATCCCACATCGGTTGAAGAAGGAACGAAACATTCCTTATAAGGGTGTGGAAACCACTTCCTAACAAACATCTGCTTGCGGTGGGCTGTTACAGTATGTGTCTTATATTTTATCATATACCTGTTATCGTGTCTTTGTTGTATCATTTTCATGTCTATATCTCGTGCCTGTGTTTTTGTGCTACTTTTTCATAGGCTTTGATGTCTTAGATAAACTTAAACTAGTTCCTCAAGGACTCTTCTCTCTCCCCAAAATATCTTTGTTTGCAATGACTCTTCCATTATCCTTTTGATTTGATTTCAAAAACCAACCCAGTTTCTTATTTGGAACATTCTTTCCTTTCTTGGACTAACTGCTTGCTCATATATCAAACACAGATAACCAACAACCAATATTGAATAAAGGGGTAACTTCTGGTGATGAACTTCCTTTAGCCCATCTAAAACGCTGGCAATGGTGGTTCTTGGTGGCACTCAACATCTTTTTCCTCATTGTGGGTCAAGCTGCTGCTGTTTTACTTGGGAGATTTTACTATGATCAGGGTGGAAATAGTAAATGGATGGCAACTGTTGTTCAAACCGCTGCCTTCCCAGTTCTTTTTATCCCGCTCTTCCTTTTCCGTTCCGCCAAGGATACTTCGACTTCGACTAACCCACCTTCCATTCTAGTTCTTTTGTTGATCTATTTTTCGCTTGGATCAGTTATAGCTCTTGATAACTGGCTTTATTCAACTGGGCTCTTATACCTCTCTGCCTCCACTTACTCACTTGTTTGTGCTAGCCAATTAGCTTTCAATGCAGTTTTCTCCTACTTCATCAACTCTCAAAAGTTCACGATTTTAATTTCGAACTCTGTGATTATCCTTTCCTTGTCTTCTGCACTTTTAGCTGTCGACGACGATTCAGAACGACCTTCTGGAGTCTCTAAGTCGAAATATTTCTTTGGCTTCATCTGTGCCCTTGGAGCTTCAGCATTATACTCTTTGCTGCTTTCCCTTATGCAGCTTACCTTTCAAAAGGTTTTGAAGCGGGAGACCTTTACCGTGGTCTTAGAAATGCAAATCTATACATCCATAGTTGCCACAATTGTTTCAGTTGTTGCTCTTTTCGCTAGTGGGGAATGGAAGAGTTTGCCACATGAAATGGCAGGTTTCGGAAAGGGTCGAGTTTCATACGTGTTAACTTTGGTGGGTACAGCCGTGGCTTGGCAGACTTGTTCGGTCGGTGTCGTTGGCTTGATCTTCATCGTCTCCTCCCTCTTCTCTAATGCAATCAGTACTGTCTCCTTAGCTGTTACACCCCTTGCAGCTCTTGTAATTTTCCATGACAAGATGAATGGTGTCAAGATCATTGCTTTGCTTCTAGCCATATGGGGTTTTGTGACTTATTTGTATCAAAACTATATTGATGAATCCAAGGCACAAAGAAGGCGAAACGAAATGGGTGAATCCCGTGTCGAGAGGTCCCCTTGTTGATGGACCATCTGGTGCACCCTGCACATATAGTTCATGATATTTTACTCTTTTTTCAGACGGATTCATCTGAAGTCTCCATTTTCAACAATAGTGAATAAATTCCTGATAGACAGAAGCAGCAGACGAAGTCTTCTCGGTACACAGAGGTATGTTCATACCATTTATTTAGATCAAGCTTATTATTAGAAAAGACCGATTCATTTTGATACAAAACCTTTGTAATTAAATAGGTTAGTCTTCAATTATTACTCTTCTGTGGCATTCCTATGATTTACTTAGTTTCATGACAGTATGAAAACTTATAGATTTTTGGCCTTTTAAGTTTGCAATAGCGAATAGCATGTCGACATATCGGTAGAGATGACCGAAACCATTTGAATAATCGAATACATAAGATCTCAAAAGAGTTACATTTTCTTGTTCCAACTGATGGGTAGATACCTGAAATGATATTCTTATTTAGGTCACGGTTTTTTGTTTCTATATTTGATTGTTTCAAGGTTGTTGTTTTTAAGAGCTGGGATGAATTACCCGCCCTAAAGATCATAAGGACCACATGAATTTAGATCGGAAGAATCTATGTATACCTCGACCATTCTCATAAGACAACTATTTGATCCTACTATAGGGCAAATCGCCCGCTCTAAAGACAGCTTCGAGAGACTTGAAAGACCACATGAATTTAGTTAGGAAGAACTTATGTATACCTCGATCATTCTCATAGGACAACTACTTGATCCTACTATAGTGTGAATTGCCTGCTCTAAAGGCAGATTCGGGAGACTTAAAGGACCTCATGTATTTAGTTCAAAAGAACTTATGTATACCTCAACCATTCTCATAGGACAACTATTTGACCCTACTATAGTGGGAAACGCCCGCTTGAAGGACCACATGAATTTAGTTCAAAAGAACTTGTGTATACCTCAACCACTCTCATAAGACAACTATTTGATCCTACTATATAGTGCGAATCGCCAGCCCTAAAGATAGCTCTAAGAGACTTTTAGGACCACATGAATTTAGTTTGGAAGAACTTATATATGCCTCGATCGTTACCAAGAAAACTCATAGAACATTAAATCTTAGGTAGTTGGCCACATAACTCGAACTCATTCCTTCTAAACACAGCCTTTATTGCTTACCACATCAACTCATATTGATTCTCTAAGGAGAATTACCTGCTATAAGGTCAAACAAGCACACCTCTAGTTTCGCTACTTTGAAGTTCACGAGTTTTACTAGAACATCGAAGTCTTTTCTTTAAAAGATGAGCGCAGATACAAATGTTCTTACATCTTCATTTTTTGAGTAAAAGTTAAGTTTTATCTGATAATGGAATTGAATTCAAAATGTGATGAAGATGAAGCTCGTTCGTGATTTTGTCAGTGGGGGTGGCAATAAGTGGATTAATTTGAAGTGGGTAACATAGGGCATCAAATGCCAATAAATACAAATAAGACCCAACTCCAATGGGTTCCACATCTAAAAGAAAGTGAATCTTACCCAACATTTATTAATATTAATATTATTATTATTTTAATTAAAATTTTGTTTGGTTTTTCAAAATATAAATGATGCCAATTCTACCCACTTTCTAAAAGGGTATATTGCCACTTCTTTTGGTTGGTTGGTGGGTTTGATTTCTTTTTTTTAAATTTAGGGACTAAAATGAAATGAGGTAAAAATTAAAACGAAGAAACAATCAAAAGTTGAAAAAATTTACCGATCACGAGAGATCTTTCTTTGTTTAGAAGTGAAAGATCGAACTATCAACTTTTAAAATAATAATGATGGGTGATTTATTCTGAATTCTTTTAACTTTGGCTCCAGAACAGGTGGAAGTTTCCCACGCCGACCCCAAACGTGAAAGCACTTCTAAGTTCCATTCCCACTTTGTTGATTTCAAACTTTTTTGATACTCTATTATTCACATGGCTTCCATTATCTTCACTTCATCAATATCAAGACCATCCATTATGAATCGTCACAAGTGGATTCCAAATAGAAAGAAGAGAGAGAAAGGAAGAAGAAGTGGAGATGCTGTTTGATAATGATGTTAACAATGTTGTTCTTTCCACTTTTTTAGAACTCCTTTTCAAGTTGTGCTTTCTTCATCAAACATGGCTTTGGATTAAAGATTAGTGTTAAACTTACAAGTTTGAACTAAACCCATCTATAAATTTTTTATTTTTATTAATTTATTAGATACAAAATTATAGTTTTTGTACGGGATAAATTCGTTAATTTTAAAAAATATTGAATATGTCGTAAAGTTTTTGAACCGAATTTATAATAATAATAATTATTTTTTATTTAGCAGTGAACTATCCGAATTCTTAACCTTTTAATCAATTGAATTATTGAAACGTAAGAGTTATTTCAAGTCATCGTACACTTTACAACTCTTTCAAAAAAAATTGAGTAATTATTTCAAATCATTTTCAAATTCAATCGATCTATTCATAAAGTTCCTCGATACATAAAACCCTAACGGCATTCAATCTTTTCCTAAAATCCAAAGGCAAAATCAGACAGAAAAAAAGGGAGTGAAATGGGATTGAGAGATTCCAAAAATAAAGGACATTGATGGTTTGATGGACAAGATTTTTGACCCCACCGCCACTCTCTTCCTAGTTTTGAACTCCCTACGCGGTGGTTGATCCACCAACCACCCTACTCCACCGCCACTGTGTCCGATTCGTTGACTTTTTTCATAAAGTATTACGGTTCAAACGAGAGAAAATAGAACGAGACTGAGACTATAAAAGAAACTTATTAAATAGGTTGGTCTATCTATTTTAGTCTCTAAATATTTAGACGTTACTTTTAAATTCTCGAGCTTTTTAAATTTATATTTTAACCCTTGAACTTTCAATTAACAACCATTTGGTCCTTATTATAATATGACTTTGAATATGTGTGCAATTTCAAGCCAGCTAAATTAAAGACACGTATTAGACAAAGGGTGAAAATGATTGTTTTGTGAAAGTTTAGGGACGAAAATAAACATTTTGGAAGTTCAAGAACCAAAATATAAAAAACTTAATATTCAAGAACTAAAAAGATAAAGAGAAAACTTTTTCAGTAGTCGATCTTGCAATCACGTCACTACGAGAGCTAATGGAAGAACTATAGATTTCTCCTTAGATAAAACCCACTTAAGAGAATAATTCGATAGTAAAGTCAAAGAAGCACATCTCAATCGTTCACAGACAGTTTCAAACGAACATATTCTAAACTACAAAATATACAAGAAGAGTACTATCCGACCATTTAAGTGTCCAATTTACTAATATAATTATTAGGGTTTCAACAATTTAGACTTTAAACTCGTACTTTTATGGACTTGGATTAGTACAGTAATGTGGACTTTATGAGCGTAGAAATTTGACTCTACCTTTATTAAATTATTAGTAGCATATTAATAATTTTAGTATAATCTTAGGTTAAATAAATATTATATTAATTTAGTCTCTTATTTTTTAATTGTCATTAATATTCTTGTACTTTAATTAGGGCTTACCATATTAAATTAAATACGTGAATTTAAGTCAAATTTGATTAAAATATTTAGAGCCACTAAAATTTATTGGATTTTTTTGTACTTTTGGGAGTGAAACCAAAACCACAAATAACTCATGGCATTCAATTTTTATTAATTCCCACTAGAAATAGAAATGTTTAATTAATAAAAAATATGAGGACCCAAATGCAAAAAATAATACTTTTTTTTCACACCCATTAACGACAATAATATTGATTTTTTTAAAAAATAAATAATGATAGAATTTTGAAAAATACAAAACAAAAATAATAAAAGTAAAAGGACAAGAGGTACAGTTTAAACAAATAGATTCTAGTAGTGACAAATAATAGCATTTTTTTTTCTTTCTAAACGTTATCCAATTGATTTTCGAGAAAGTAAGGTCACTTAAATAAATATTTTTTTGAAATTTTGTAGCCGTACACGTGTTGCTGCCACATCCACTCGATCAAATCTTCAACCACCGGACCAACCACAACCCATTTGGCAACAAGCATTTAATTTCATTATTTAAATTAAATATCTTTGAATGAATAAATAAATTAAATTTTTCTAAGAGAAAAAAGCCAGATTCCATATTTGAAAAATTAATAAAATCAAAAACAAAATATAAACTGGGCTTTTTTTTTCATTCCTGTGTAATGAACATTAGTATACATAAATAAAATAATAATAATTTTTTCTCTTTCTTTATTATTATTTTTTTTTTATCGATTTTTATTTTTTAAAAAAACTTTTACAGTGAGGAATAAGCTGAAGATGGTAAGTAATAATAAACAATTGGTGTTGAGAGAGAGGAGGGCAAAACCGTACTTGTGTGAATTGTGTTTCGTGTGAAAGAGGTCGAATCAGCACCGTCTATTTGGATGTCAACGGTCTTCAAAATCAACGGTTCGCATTGACTCTTCCGAAATCCGCAAGTTTTCGAGATCGGTTCGCGCAAAACGACGCCGCTTCGGAGAGATGAGGCTTGGTCGGAGCCCTAATTTCTCCGGTATACGCCAATTCCGTCGGAAGTCCTTTCTGGTTCCAGTGGCGGTGGTTAGGGCTAGCTCTCACCAGCGGACTCAAACAAAACGCGAGACCAGAAACGTTCCAACTCAGTCCTTGTCTCCCTCGTCTCGCTGTCGATCCGTGAGATGCCACCGGAGACGGTTTCCACTTCGAGGACTCGGAGGAGTATCCACTCGCCGATGGAGATCCATCGCGGCGATCGTCGTAATCTCCGTCCGCCTCGCTCGCTCCTCCAGCCGGAGACATTCCTCGAAAATAGAGTAGCTGCGGCTGCGACGGCTTCTTCCTCTGGTCCATTGCTTCTTCAATCGAGCAACACTTCGACTGCTTCTCCTTCCGACGGGAGAACATTGATGAAAGCCAAGTGGAAGAGGAAGAAGACGAGGAGGCAGGATCGCAAGTAGAATGAGAAGAATCACGAGGAACCGAATCCAATTTCTCGGATCTGGACCGGAAAAGACTAGACCAGAACGAAAATCTACTCCTCTGTTTCCTACTAACAGAACCAGTAGTAACAAAAGAAGAAGTAGAAATACCGCCGCCGTAATAAGTAGGTTGAACCTGTGGAGTACTGTAAAAGCGATGATGAAATCGACGATGTCGCTCATCCAACGGACTCTGAAAGCTCCACGACGAGTCCTCAACCTTCCGCCGCGAGACATACGGAGAAACAGAGCGCGGAAACACAAGAGGCGGTGGTGGCGGAAGAGGATCTGACTTCCTCGGTAGATCCTCCCTCGCATAGGAACGAAGTCGAGATAGCTGCACTTGGTGAGCCTCCGCCCTAGCCTGAGCCGCCATTAGAGAGAGAAGCCGCTCCCGAAGACATGTAGCACAGACTCCAACAGCACTTGTGACGTC